CGTCTGTAAAATAAAACCCAGACGTTATAAGCAGTTTGTGAAAATAAGCTTGCTTTTGTGAAATGTTTTGGAGATGAGAAGCATGAAGACGTAATACTACAATTAGCTAGGTGCCCTTTTTAGGACACTCATCCTTGTGAGTCCTCCTATACTGTAGTTCTGAAGGATTGTTCTTTGTGATTAGGAATACTGAGATGGATTTAGAGCACTTTGTGTATAAATATGCACTTTCCTTTTGTAATTCACTTTCCTTTTGTGTTTTTAGGACACTCATCCTTGTGAGTCCTCCTATGTTACTGTAGTTATGAAGGATTGTTCTTTTTGATTAGGAATACTGAGATGGATTTAGAGCACTTTGTGTATAAATATGCACTTTCCTTTTGTATCAAGTCTTGGTGTTTGTATTATGCAGCTTTTTCTGATCAAAGTGGATCCTGATTAGTGGCTTGTTGGGTGTGAGAACCTGCTGAATAACTGTGTATGCTCATCTATGATTTGGGAATGTATTAATTTTGGTCTCTGTGATGACAAATTTATGCTCTTGGGTGATTATACGTGCTCAAAACTCTTCTGGGTTTTGCATCATGTCTTTGATGGTCCCTTTTTTATTCTTCTGATATGTGAAACAGGTGTGTATTTACAAGTTTACGTTCATTTTCTTACAGCTAGAGGAAGACTCAGGAGCCTTAAATGTTCACAGGTCATGGGTACCCATCCAGCTCTTAAATGGAGAAAGGATGGGGAGGACTTGGAAAGAACTGTGGCTGTATGAATGCAGCTGATTTTTTTGTTCAGAACTGTGGCATGATACTGTTTAGAATGACAGGCTTACCTGTGGTGAAGGCACTCAGGAGGACAGTGGGAAGTGGCTGGACAGTAATCTTTGACTTCTCTCCATGCTTCCTCTGAAACTTGCCTGTCAAAGTGTAACACTATTCATTGGAAGCTCTGTTATGAAGCATGAGCCTGGGTGCACAATTCCAGGGTAGCTGAGACACTGCAAAGTGTGTGGTTCAAAGTGATGCAGGACTTCAGTTCCCTTTTCCTTGTTTTCCCTTCAGAGGGCTGTTCAAATGAGCAGGCCTTGGCTTTAGCTTGTGAAAAGTGAACATGGGTGTTATTTAATGTTTTCAGAACTGTTTGCCCTGGGAAGTTTGTCAGCTGTGAACATTTATTTCTAAAGTTCTGTCTGTCATTCCCAGGACAGGACAATTTACTGAAGTTGTTTGTCACAGCTGGCTGTTCCCTTGTTAATAGTATAATCATTTAGGGTGGTGGTTTCCCAGCAAAGCTTTACCTTGTCTGTGCACGTTGCACTGCTCAGCACCTTGCCTGGCCAATCCCATTGACAAGCACCGTGTTCAGTGTTGTTTTCCAGGCTGGGACAGACTCCTATGGCATTGCAAAGAATTCAGCATTGAGAATGTTCTTCCTTAGATCCAGCTACAGGTCACACTGCTGAGTGGTACCCAGATGTTGTTCCCTGTTTGTTGTCTGGGAGTTCTTCAAGTCCGCTGACATTATGTAGTCAGATGTTCTCCAGCTTTTGGGACGTGGGATTTTCAGGGTTCTGGGAGGAGATGAACTGCTTCACAGCTGAGCATCCCCACAGTATCCATCAGTGGGAACCTTCCTGAGCCAGGAACAGGACATAAATGTCCCTTTGGTGTTGACACAGGGAATGATTGTATTGTTTTACGGTGTTCTAAAGTGAAGAACACTGGAAAACATGAAGTGCTGAAACAGTATTCTTTTTCACTTCATCCTTCTTAAAAAATAGAAATATGAAAGGGCTCTCTTCTAGATACTCTGATTACAGATGCATCATTATTATTATTAAAATACATGAAAAATAACTCAATTTTCATTGTGTTCTGTTTCATTTGGCTGCAGAGGCATCTCCTGAATTAAAAAAAACCTGCAGTGATTTGATGTATTGATTTTTAGCATTAGGGAAAAATATAAGTCCAGGAAAAAGAAGTGCATGTCTTTCTTTTTTGTGTACTGATAGTAAAAAAATTACTAAAATTAGGTGACTATCTAGCAAATGAAATGTAAATCTTAAACATATCACTAGTTACATTTTTACAGTGTGAGGATTGTGTTTTGCTAGAGAAAACTGATGACTAGATAATTGGATTTTAGAAATAGTATTTGTGACTGCCAGGTCTGGGCTGGGCTATTGGGGAAATAGAGGAGGAGAACCACCTCCCTGACCTGCTGGCCACACTCTTTAGTTTTATGAGGTTACATGTTGCTTTAACTACATTTAAAAACTAATTCTGTATAAGAGATAGTGTATTAGATGTAAGAACAGTATATTTCTAAGCATTCTTTCTGTGATTTTCAGTGTTGATAAATACAGTTGGTGTGATTTTTTGAGCATTTAGAAGTTAACTATGGTACTTCCTTAACAATAAATAAGGGAAGACTGCTTCTAGAATTGTATTTGATGTATTTAGTCCATCTGTTTGTTTTGACTTTTGCCTATTTGAGGATAGTTGGAGTTTGGGGTGAGGTTGATTAATTTTGTTTGGTTAGCTGGATTTTGTTGTTTTATTTTTCTTTGTCTTCGTGATGGGCTTATTCCTAAGAAAGAGGATCTGTGAACGACCAGCGAGCAAAACATTGTCAAATGCCCAAAGTAGAAACTAAACAAGAATGGAAGAGGGTTTTCTTTAAGACTTTGCTGCTGTGATGTTGATTACAAAACTCAAAGGTGAAATATGCTTGGGCTCTCTTGTATTGCCTTTAGAAATTGACCTAATACAAACCCAAGAAAAAATATTTCCCAAGTGCATGTTTCAGAGCATAATTATCTTCATAAGAAATTTTTGTTATCACTAAGTCAAATTTGGATCTGGATACGCCTATGTACTTCCTGTAGTCAACAAAAGAAGAGCAGCTGCATTTACAGATATGCTTATTGATTGTTCCTAATCCAGTGAAGGTAAGAAATAACAGTATATTATTTTCAATTAGGCTAGTTAGTTAAATACTTTTTTAATTCAGTAGAGAGCTGCTGCTGCTTTCCATGAAGCAGTTGCAAGTAAAATGGGTTGAAAGAGGAGGGAGTATAAAGGACAGTATTACAAAAGGTTCTTGGCACTGAGTAGACAGTACCTGCATTAAATAAGAGTTGTTTTATTTCTCTGAGTTAGAAGCAGCCATTTCTGCTCTTCTGGGTTGAAAATGTGATTTTAATCTTAATCTTTCAATCTAAATTTGCTCTTTGTTGCTCTCTAGATAGGAAGGTCCCTAGTCTGTTCTGGGGCCATAGAGGTCCTTCTCTGAGGAAGAACCTGAATGCCTGAAAGAAGTCTGGCTGCTTTCTTCTCTGCTTTGGCCCAGAAAGTAACCACCTGCAAAAGTTTGGCATCAACCCTGTCTCTTAAAAGCAACCTAGCAAGAGGGAAAGAAAAAACAAACCCATGCATTTTCACTCTATGTGTAAGGTGGCAAGAGAGGAGTGAGTGAGTGGGTGAGCTTGTGTTGAGAAATGGGAAGACAGGATGTTTGCTATTGAGATTTTGGTTGGTTTTTTTTTTTTTTTTCTTTAATTCCTTCATCTTCCCTTTTGAAGAAGACAGTCATGGTTTCTATGCAAGAGTGATTATTTGAAAACCAATAGAATCATGTCATATGAGTCAGGTAAAATCTTAAGTGTTTGAGAGAGAAGGAGGGGTTTTGTCAGATTGCTTAAGGATAAGGGAGATTATTGTTGCGGCGATTTAATATTTTGGTTTTTGCTGGAAGTAAAAAGGTGATTTACTCTTACATTTTAAAAATTATTTATTGCTCTAAAATTTCAAAAGTCAGCAGAGACACCCAGTATGGATGACATTTTTCCTTGTTCCATTTGTATTCTAAAATAGAAATGGATAAACTACACTACAGTCTGTAAGAAATGGTAGTGACAGATTGTTGTCATGTCAGGAGCTGAAACTCCCAAGGAAATAGGGAGTGCATTGTAGATTTTAAGGCTGCTGATTTGTGAGTTTAGTAGTATTTTGTTGTTTATTCATGCCTGTTCTAGTGGGCCCCAGTAAACCCTTCTGTTTTTCTTTAAGTGTCAGAAGAGATTCCTGCTTGTTAATATTAGTTTAAAACTCATGAAGTCATCAATCCTCTCATTTTTTTCCTCTGTAGCTTGCCAAGCTGTATTTCATGCTCATGCTACAAAAATCCTTTCTTTTTCTTTTTCGTTTCCCTTTCCCCTTTCTGCCCCTCTACTCTCTTCCCCCTTCCCTCCCCTCCCCTCCCTTTTTTTTTTTTTAATTTACTAGAATGTAATTTGTTAGTAATGACTCTTAGGATATTTTTCATGGTGATGCTTGAAGGCAGAGAGCTCTGGAGCCTGGAATGCCAAGTATGTTCTTCCTCCCTGCTTCCTGACCTCTGCTGTGTGCGACTTCTGTGGGCTGCCATGAGTCCAGAGAGCAGAAGTCTTTGCAACCTTGTTTCTTGGAATTTGCTTTGTCCAAGTGGAAGGAACAGCTCTGTTGTTTACAGTATCTTAGGACGTGGTGTAGTGCAGCAGCCTGCAGGGAAGCACTTGGAGATGCCAGGGTCAGATACTGATCTGCAGTAAACTATAGTGTTTGCTATCAAGAGCTCTAGTAATCTGCTTTGCCTTTCTCCATTTCTCTGGGCTTTGATCAGAAAGTTTTCTTGATTTAAGTGTCTTAATTATGTGAAAACTTGGGATTTGGTTTTTTTTATCACAGTTGTAACATTTATACAGATGCATTCTGCAAGGCTAGGAAAGAATGAGGTGCTGATGTAGCCCCTAGTGTGCTGCATTAAGTAGATAATTCCTAGTGGAATAGAGGAAAGAGGCTGTCAGATCTTTAAGAATATGGCAGACAGGCAGTGCTTGATGGGGTGTCTGTGCATCCTGCTTCAGCCCTTCTGGAATGTAAACGCAACAGCCCAAAGGAAGGTGACTCACTGAGTGCCGGTGCTGCCCTGTTGCTCCCGGTGTGTCCCTGCATTCCCTGCAGAGGGGCCCTGGGTGCCATGGCCGGCCTGAGGCTCCGGGGGCTGGCAGCCTCCAAGCTGTACCAGCGCCGGCAGGATCGGCTGAGTGCCACAGGGTCACTGCTGGCCAGCAGGACACACACGGCAGCTGGGACTCGTGGGTATGTCTCCAGGATGAAGGGAATGGCGTTGTTAAAGCATTTTCCAGGATTTGATAGATTTTCACTTCTGGTGGTGGGGCTGCTTTATTTAAAGTGAGAATTGTTGGCACAGAGCCAGAGGGGATGAGGTCGGTTTGTTTTTGTTTTCAAGTAGATTAAGAACGAAAGGACTTTCCTGATGAGAAAGCTTTCAGTTTTTAACAATAACAGGAAAGCAACAATGGAGAACCTTTCCCATTTCAAGCTGTGTGCTAGACTGTTCAGAACCAGCATTAGTGCTTGTGCTGGTTGTGCATGGCCTGGTTTTTGGTAGCGGGGCGCCACAGAAGTGGCTTCTGTGAGAGCTGAGAAGCTTCCACCATGTCCAGCAGAGCCAGTCCCTGATGGCTCTGAAGATGGACATGGCCAAGGCTGGGCCAGTTAGAGTTATTGGTAATGCCTCTGTGGTAACATATTGAAGAAGAAAATCAAAACAGAGTGGGGCACTGATTTTTCTTAGCCAGAGAAGAGAAGGAGGTGAGAACACATGAGGGAAACAACATGGAGACCAAGGTCAGTGGAGAAGGAGAGAGAGAAGGGGCTCCAGGTCCTGGAGCTGAGATTCCACTGCAGGCTGTGGTGAGGACCTTGGTGAAGCAGCTGTGCCCCTACAACCCATGGGGATCCACAGGGGATGCAGAGATCCACCCACAGCCCATGGGCATCCACGGGGGATGCAGAGATTCACTCACAGGCTATGAGGGTCCATGGGGGATGCTTGATATGATCATTGCTTTTTCCAGGCTTCACATTAAAATTTTACTCCTGAATTTTTATTAGTTAATTTTGTGCAGGAGGTAAATTGTGGTAATGGCCCAGCCTTATTCCCAATGGTTACAGCTGTGAGCAGCAGGTGAGCAGCATTGACAGCAATGAGCCATGGAGTGCCCAGGGCACTGACCAACCACCAAAGGGAGCAGAGGGCACACAGGGGCAGAGCATCAACAGGAGGGAATAAAAGGCTGGCCTAAAGAACAGGAAGGACAGATGCTTGCAGCCTTCTGGGGTGGTATGATATTACTGTGTATGGGCAGACCCCTGAAGCCTTCTGATGAGGTAAGGCATTACTCTGGATGGGTTGAAGCTTTCTGAAATTGTGTGGTGACACTGTGTATTGTGGTCTTCTCAACTGCAATATATGCTGTGGCAGTAAATTAGCAGGAGTTAAATCAAACTTAGTTTCTTGCCTTTTGGGAAGAAACCTGCTGTGATCTGCAGCAGAAATATGGAGCCTGAAATCTGCATCACTGGAGAGAGCAGTGGGCATCCAGAAGAGGTGATTTTCTTTTTCTAGCAATCAGTTCTGAATTTGAGACTTTTCTTAGCAGGAAGTACACCTGATGCTTACCTGGATGTGAGGAATTATGAAGCCAATGAGTTTGGCTTCTCATATGAATTGTGCATCCCCCACTAAAACCCTCCTTTTACTGCTCTTTTCCTTTTAACCAATAACTCTTAGTTAGTTGGTAAATTTTTCATTTTTCCCACAAGAAGCTGTGGGTGTGAATGTATGAGAATTTAATGAGGAGGGGAGCTAACAAGGTGGTGAAGGAAATGGTGATGCAATTGAGTTGACATAATGCTGTTCAGGAAGAGTGAGGAGCATGGAAGAGGCCTGTGAGAGGAAGGAAAAGCTCTGAAAAAGCAGATGTACAGGTAAACTGAGTATGTTTTTCACATCATAGTTCTTGAAGCAAAGTAAGCATACAGCCAATATATTTTGGTTTTGTTGAGCAGGTCACAGTGCTGACAATTTCAATCCCTTTGAGATGTTTCTCTCCTGAATTATTATATTATATCCATGGGTTTTGTGCTAGTGATAACTTTTGGTTCTCCTTCCTGATAGGCCTTGATGGTTTATGTCCTTTCTTCAGGCAAAGGAGAGTAATCCAACAGTAGTGCTGCTGCTAGTTGGTGGTAATTGGTGAATGAATGTGGGGAGTGATCAGTGTTAGTGCTGGTAAACAAACATCACACTTAAGCTCCTTTGAGACAGTGGAAGTGGAGAAAAACTGAATGTGTGTTAGGAGTTATTTCTCAAATAGACATTCTGGATGAAGTGGTATATGAAGTGGTAAAAGAATGGTTTTCCTTTATGAGAGGAATAATTGATTTAAAACCTGTACATTTTTTTATGTTGTTGATATTTGCCTGGGCTGAGTGAACACTGCTAGCTGCATGTCTGTGTAAGACACTGGTCATCATTTACTGGCAATAAGTATGTCTTGGTGTTGAGAGGGACTCCCAAGTGTCAATGGCATAGGACTTTTTTCTGTTTGAACACCAAGAGACTTTTGCTGCTGGTCTCAAAAGTCTGCCTGATTGCAGCTTCATGCAGGTCAACCATACAGACCTTGTACTCTGGCCTCAGCTGCAATATGTACCTTTTTTTTTTAACCCCTCCAGTTTCTACTCAATTGCAAATTGCTGCTGGTGGTAGGCCCAAGGAGAGATTGGTTTTTTCCATATTGTGACCATAAGTTGCATTTGTATGTTTTTCTTAATTTTGGTTATGCCTGTGTTCTAAATAAGAAAGAAAAATTATTATTTCATGGAAAGTTTGGGGGCTGCATGATCAAGGAAGATATATTGAAAGAAACACTATTCATTTCTAACTTAGTCAGTGAAAAAATATTTAACATGAACTGAAACTTCCATGCAAGCATAAGGAGAAATGCTGAAAATGTTAAGCTGTGCATATAGTTTATTAAATGCACAACAAATCATGTATTAAACAAATGAAAAACATTTTTTCCAACATTTTATGACGAGTTTAATAACCATACCAAAGAAGTTAATTCACTTTGGGAAAGTTGTCCAGATAAGTCAATTGCAGCGAAGAGATTTGTGGAATGATAAGGGTAGTTGGGGGCTGGTTTTCAGCACTAGTTCATGAACTGACACCCTTCCTCTTTCTTTTGTCTTTGCATTAGTCATCATCTGTGAAATTAATCATAAGGTCTGGTATTGTCCCAGCAGATTTCATTTGTATCTTTGTCGACATTGAGGACTTTAAGTTACTGATTCTCAGCTGTGCTGTGGGGGTGGGAGCCAGCCCCTCTCCTGGAGTGCTCTCATCTTTGCCTTGGCTGCTGATGTCTGTGACACAAACAAGTGGTGATAGCTCTTCCAGTTTATCATATCTGTCTGTGCATATGTGCTAGAAATGTAATCAGATTGTGATATTTTCTGTATACACTTGCTGCTACTGGTAGACCAGAATGAGCAGAAAACACATTTTTAGAGATCCCAGCATAGGTTTTGCTCTCTGCTGAGGTTTGGATAATGCCATGGGTTCTTGTATCTCAAAGTATTGTCTAGCTTTCTTTTTGTAGGATCTGCAAGGTTTTGGGTCACTGTTGAAGCAATTCTTCATTCAGCATTGTGATGAAGAAGAACTCTATGCGACACAAAAACCAAAAAGCTTTTGAAACCAGTTAAAGAACTTTTTTTGACTGGGCTTTTCTGACAGAAGCACTCCTCATTCCTGCAGTTCCTTTCCTTCTGAGGCAAAATCTGAGACCCTTCTCCCAATTGTCCAGTTGTCTGGTTCATTTTGTCTTGTAGCCACATTTAAGATAATGAAATCTGCAAGTGTGATGGTGAAGGCTTGAGCTCCTCTTCTAATGTCTTAGCAGTGGAATTATTATATTTGCTTCTTTTGCTTTAACCTGTCATCAGTGATAGATCCCTGTGAACAAATGTTTTCAAACAGAGGTAATATTGACTTCAGTGATAGAAGGAGGTAAAAGACTTTCAAATATTCCAGTAGTGTTTGTACCTGTGGCACAGAATGGGTCTCCTAGATACTGTATACTTCTTTTAAAGAAGGATTTTTTCTTTCTCTCTCTCTTTTTTTTTTTAATTTTTCTTTTAATTTTTTTTAATTTTTCTTTCATTTCTTTCGAAGGCTTGAGCTCCTCTTCTAATGTCTTAGCAGTGGAATTATTATATTTGCTTCTTTTGCTTTAACCTGTCATCAGTGATAGATCCCTGTGAACAAATGTTTTCAAACAGAGGTAATATTGACTTCAGTGATAGAAGGAGGTAAAAGACTTTCAAATATTCCAGTAGTGTTTGTACCTGTGGCACAGAATGGGTCTCCTAGATACTGTATACTTCTTTTAAAGAAGGATTTTTTCTTTCTCTCTCTCTTTTTTTTTCTTTTTTTTAAATTTTTCTTTCATTAGAGACCTATGCTGGTACTTTAGAGTAAATACTTCTGAGAATTCAAAGCAAGGGAAACCTAGTTATAATGGTAAAAATATAATTTCTGTAAATCAGGTACTTTGTCAAAGATAATCTGTTAAAGATGCAGCACATAATAATGAAAGATTTGGGAAAGCATTGTTTCAACGCTGGTATTTTTTGGGTTTGTGCAGGACAGGATAACTTCAGGATGCTGATCTCATCGTGTTTTAACAGCCTTTCCTGTCTTTGTGTCACCAGCTTATTGTTAAAACAGAGGAAGATTCTTTATTTTACTGAATAGCAAAAAGTCAATGAGCAAACAGAATAGAAGAAGCACTTTATATTGGGGACTGTCCTTTGTGGGAAAGATTTGGGTGTAGATATTTGAGTGACACAGCAAGTCAAACTTTTCAAAAGGATGGTTATGGTGTTACTCTTCCTTTCCCTATGCTGCCAGCAGAAGTGCTTTTGCAGCAGTGTAGTAAACTGAACCATAAAATTGCTGTGAATTATCAAGGTGCTCCCTCTTCCTTCCAGCTTTGGCTAATTTTAACCTTAAGCTAGTTGAAAAAATGCTTGGTTTTGTATAAACAAGAGGGCATGCAGGGGTGTGTACTCAGAGGAAATTAAGAAATTGGCAAATGTTTAAGTAAAACCTTTGAATAAATGCAAAGTCATATCTTCAGGGCAATGCTGAAGTGGCAGATTGTAGCTTGAGTGCAAAACAATAAAATGTCTTAAGTGAAAACGGATGCAGAGTTAAAAATGGAAAACAAGCAAGGATGCAAATCCTCTTGGTGTGGATTGTCAAGGAGCCATAGCTGCTGCTTTGAATTACAGGAGGTACATTGGTAGGAGCTGATGTGGTTCACTTGACTCCTGTACTCTGGCTCTGCCCAGAAGTTTCAGCTGAGGCAGAGAACTGAGGTTTTTCTGTTTGTTTGTTGGTTTTTTTTTTCTTTTCCTTTTTTTTTTTGTTTTTTTTTTTTTACTGGTTCTTTCATTTATATTTTCCTGGACTAATAGTTTCTCTCATCTGCATGAGTCACACTTACTAGCTCATTTCTGGGGACAGCTCAGATTGTATCATGATCATCTTTCTTATGCCTTTGGGGAAATCTTGTCAGCAGCAGCATCAACATCAGGGGAGTCCCTGTGTCATCATTATTTCTGTTACCAAGACAACAGTGGGACTTGTGTGGGAATCTCTCCTGGGGTGCCTGGTGTGCAGGGTCACAGCTGCCCTGCATTTCAGTGCCTGGTGTGCAGGGTCACAGCTGCAGTGCATTTCATGCAGGAACGTGGCTGTGCAGGTTGCAGGCTTGAGTTGTTGTGAAATGCTGTTGTGGAGGTGACTGCTCTAGCAGAGTTCACCCTGCATGTTGATACTGGCACTGGTGGGTCCCTCTGGATTAAGAAAAAAAGAAAGAAAATTAAGGTTTTTTAAAATGTTGACTTCATGTTTATAAAGGAAAAACACCAACAAACACAAGATGGTGCTTTGCTGTTAGTGTCTAATGTGTAATACTTGCTGGTTTGCCTGGTTTTTTTCCTAGAGGAGATTTTTCACTATGATGACATCAGTCGTTATTAATCTTGGCTGTTGGCTAGCTCAAGTCCTGGAATTTAGGGACTGAATTTTTCAACGGGGAAAAAATACTTGAAGGGAAGATTATATTTTCAAGTCCTGGTACAGATTTGTGTGGTAACTGGAAGAGTGGTGACTGAAAACCAAGCTGATTAGGTGTTGGCTTTGCTGCAAACACTGATGTTTTTGTGCTATTCCCTTGGTACTCTGTTAGGATAAAAAATATTTCTTTAACCTATGATCTCTACTTTATGAAATTACAGGATTTCCTCTTGTCCCTAATTCCAGTAGTGTCTGTTTTTTAAATGTATCCTTTGTACTGCAAGAAGGAAACAAGTTGTACCAAATTTTTTGCTAAATTGGTACTCCATTCTTGAAACTATTGTGGTCTGTCTTGGTTTTTTCCTCCCTTGGAATTGCAGCATAGAAAGTGGTTTTACTGAGGGGTGGCTCTAGGTCACAGCTTAGGATGTGCCCTAATTGTCCCCTCTGCAGAGGAGAGACACTTGGCTGAGCTGATCCAGCTGGAGTCAGGGCTGGTTGTGGTGCCTCAGGAATGTGAGGCTGCTCCCTGCTCATTCCAGCTGTGCTCAGGGCACAAAGCCCTGGAATACTGACACTGGCCTGGTTTTGGATGCATCTGCTCCCTTAAAAGCTTCTTGAATTACTGTTCTCCATGAGGAGGTGGGGAAAGTAGCGTGTTGGGTTATTGAGTAATATTAAGAGTGGAAAATCAGTTCAGAGTAACTTTGAATCTAAAAAGAAAGAAAAAAGCCTTGTAAAGCAAGCTGTATGTCATTTTATGCATACATTACCTACCTCAGGAAAAGTACTGTACAAGTAGTTTGGAGATTTTTTTTAACATGGTAGCAATTTTTTATACTTCTGCCTATAAAACTGCAGTCTTTCCAATAATGGAATTCAAAAGGTGTCCAGAAGGCAGAAAACAATTTTTCTATAACCAAAGGTGTAATAATATTGAGATTTTATACTCTTGGATAGCCTGGTGGTTAAAAGAAAGATCACACTGCAACAAGAAACTGAGATGTACCTGATAATTTTTCCCTCCTGGTTTTTGCATGTGATATACATTTTAAAACTACATTAACTTACATTAGCATGCTGGCAAGCATGAAAACTTTATGGAGGAGGTTAGGGTGATTCCTTATTTTAGGGTAGATCGAGGAAATGTTATGTGATTTTTACGTGTGGCTTGGGGAGGGGTTTTTAGCCTCATGTTTAGAGGAAATGAAGCTGAGGCGTTGGTCATGCCAGCTAGAGGGACTTCTCCCTGCCCATAGCTTTGTAACCCTTTGACAGTTTGAGCTAATTTGTCAGGAGGACAGGGGTCTGTAGAGGGGGGAAATGGTTTGTTACTGCTGACAGTGAAGGGGAGAGTGCAGTGGGATATCAGTGCTTATTACACATCAGAAAATCCATATCCTGAGACCAGAAGGCCCAAGAAGTCAGGATCATTGGGTTTGCTGCTCTCCAAACTGCTAGTTTGTGAAAAATTGTGAGTATTTGCTATGAGCCATTAGCAGGATGATGTAATGAGGTGAAATTTTGGTGAAGTAGCCAAAAGTGTGCAATATGTATATCTGCTACTTGACCTCATCTGCCACATGCGAGTTGTCAGAACCTTATTTCTAACTGATGTCAATGACTCATTGATCTTTTTGTTTTTCATGTAAAAGGGAATTTAAAGCAGCTGGAATGTTGTGTTTGTAAATGTTCTTGCTCTTGTCTTTGTTGCAGTAATATGTCTGATGCTCTGGCGAACGCCGTGTGCGAGCGCTGCCAGGCGCGGTTCGACCCCGCCGAGAGGATTGTGAACAGCAATGGGGAGCTCTACCACGAGAGCTGCTTTGTTTGTGCTCAGTGCTTCCGGCAGTTCCCAGAGGGACTCTTCTATGAGGTGAGTTCTCAGGCTGGGTGGAAGAGAAGAGAAAGAGCTCTGGTAAAATGCAAGGAATTCTCAGCTTTCCTGCGTGGTTGATTTCTTAGCCCTAAATATTTGTCGCCATTTTTTTAAGGAGCTTCCAACTTAACTTCCCTTTTTCTCTTCTCACATATTCCTTTGGTAATAGCAAAAGCTGCTCTTTGGGTAAGACACATTCCGAAAAGAAAATAAAAAGTGTTTTGTTAATCATCAAAGAATCACAGAATGGTTTGGGTTGGAAGGGACCTTACAAATCATCATGCCGGGCCATTTTCCACTGGACCAGGTTGCTCAAAGCACTGTCCAACCTGGCCTTAATATTTATTAAACAGAATATTTATTTATTTTTATTAGACAAAAGTGATTTTTTGTCTTTATTTTTAGACCTGTTGTACTGAACTGTTCCAGTTGGGCAACTCAAATAAGTGAACCCATTTAAAAGCTAGGTTGAGGTTTTTTTACAGAATATGCACAAGCACATATATTGATTAACACATTGGTTTAAACTTGCTGTATTTTATTTTGACACGGGTTTTAACCTTGTGTAGAAAGAGTAGTCATTTTGAACTAAACTAAAGCAAAAATGAAATTAAAGGCAACTATAACAAAAGGATTGGGGTATTCTTCAGGTTTTTTACCATCTTGTAGCAGCATTGCTATTAATGCAGCTGTGCAAATTCAATATGAGGCTGGAGCCATTTGTGGGTATTTCTTTAATGAGAACCTTTAGGAGTTGAAAAACAGGTATGTAGGGGGCTAGAACTGACCTTGACTAAATGGTCATATCAATGGAAAATCATGCTGCACTGTCAGGATGTAAAAGTAGTTCAATTGTTCATGAGGACTCCTCTCTTGTTTTGTTTGCAGTTTGAAGGTAGGAAGTACTGTGAGCATGACTTCCAGATGCTGTTTGCTCCTTGCTGTGGGGAATGTGGTAAGTGGCAAATATCAACAGCAGGGCTTTCCAGCTGCAGGGCTGTGCAAAGCTTGCAGTGTTGCTGGGACATGCAGCCTTGGGCTGGGGTTGTTGGGGTTGTTTTAAGGAGTCAGGAGCTCTGGGTGAGAACAAAGTGTGATACTGGCAGTGATTTTGGGTTATCCTGGTTGTGGGAATAATTTGGGGTTTTTTTCAAAATTAGACTGTAATAGTAATTTTGGAATTAAAGTGGAAGGACTGTGAAGGACAGTAGATTTTGATAAGACTGTTTTCTGCATGCATCTCATGCTTTCCTCTTGCAGGCGAGTTCATTACTGGGCGTGTTATCAAGGCAATGAACAACAACTGGCACCCAGAATGCTTCCGCTGTGAGCTTTGCGACGTAACCCTTGCTGACCTGGGTTTTGTGAAGAATGCTGGCAGGTAAGAGGGAGCAGGGGGTCAGAAAGTTGTATCAGTGTGTTATTGATACAGCTCTGAGATGCTGAGGGTGGTCAGTTAGTTTAGGAATAACTTGTTGAGAAGTTCTTCATCCAATGAAACGTGTTCTTGTTTCCAACAAGAAACTCAAATTTTAGTGGCTAGTGAATGTGTTTTGGAAAAGAAAGATTTCAGGCAGAAGGCTGCCTAATAAGTGAGAAAAAGGGATTATATGATCTCAGGTAGGTTGTTTATCAAGTAAGCTGCAGGAAATCAAGATGTAGCAAAAGGCTGAAAGAATAACACAATGATTACAGCAAAGTCTTTTCAGCCTGTGATTCCACTGGTCTTCGGAAATCATTCATTTTAAATGCAGAAATACAAAATGAATCCTAGAGGTTGATTAATGCATTTAATTCAGAAATAAGAAATAAAAATACAAAAGAAAGCTAATAAAAACATACCATTATAAGAAAGTAAAACAATCCAGCAGTTAGCAGACAGTGTTGCACAGTTCAGAGTTAACTTTCAGCTTTCATATGTTATGAGCAAAGCCTAGCAGTTACCTAGAGTTTATATTTTCACTGACTAAATGCTGAAGGAGGGAAGAAAAGGTCATATGCTTGCATCTGTCCAGCAGGGAGTCCTCTCAAGTCCCTCTTATTTTTCATACTGCATGCAACCTCTGTGCCTTAGTTTTTTGAGCTGGGCATAATTGATTTTCTTTTGGCATCTCATCTTGCTAGAATGGGCTGTTGGAATAGCATTGAGGTGTTTTGGGGAAGCAGTCAGGATAAAAGCAGTTCAAGCAATATAAAGTATGTTTAATTTTGTAATTTGTGTACCAAATCTCAAATGGTAAGGAGCTCATTCCCAAAGCATAGCAGACAGATAGGTGTGTGTATCTCTATAACAATATATTTCACCTGTCACATGACTTCCTATAATATTTACATGCATAGCATTGAAGCAGTCTGCTAGTAAATATTATTGGAAACTCGTGTGTTCTTTTTTTCCCTTTTCATTGTACCAGGCATATTTTGCTGGATGCAATTTACATCAGTGAGAATAAAAATAATCTCTACGTATCCATAGTGAAGGAATAGTCTTGCTAGATAAGTCACAAAAACTGTAAAGCATCCTAAAGCTAGGAATCTTTTCTGTCTTAATTCCTGTCCAGGCTGGGTTTATTCCTTCATTCTGATCTTTTTTTTTTTCTTGCCACCATTTAGTGCCAATTTTCTCTGTGTTACATGTAAACACTTTGAATTCAGAAACTTGAACAAAATATGCAAATGTGGAGGTTTTTTCATCAGACAGGTCTCTCTCAGAAGTGGATCTCTACTGCTGGCACAATGTGAAATTTTAAATAAGGCTGTAAGCATTGTGCAGAGTGCTTTGGGAATTCAATTATTTGAAAAAAATTAAATACATGGGTCCATTTCCCTCACTGTCCCCTTCCCTATTCCTAAGTGCTCAGCCCTCAGTTGCACTCCTTGGAAACCAGAAGAACTGTCCTTCTGTTTGCAGTTTCAGCAATACAAACACACGTGTTCTCTATGGTCGAGGGGTTCTTGTTAATAGCAGCCCCATAAAAACAACAGAACTTCCCTTCTCAGGATGAGTTTGACTCTTCTTGGACTGTCTTGCTGCACATTTGTGCTCTCAGCTGATTTTGGTGGAAGAGAGTGTTCTTAAGACGAAGAACTGACACTGACAAGAGTCATGTTCACAGTTCAGATTTAGCACTTAGTGAGCTTTCATTTGTCTTACCCTCGTATGTTTGAGGCAACGTTATGGTCTTTTTAATGCAAAACAGATTGCACAAAGCCTCACGGAATTTCTCAGCTACAAAAAAATACATGATGGGGTCGAAGGCCCCGTTGAGGCTGGTGAGGCAGGAGGTGATGCGGTTGCTGAGGGCCAGGAGACGTTGCGTCTCACAGGAAGCTTTGGCCCCGTTGTAATGCAGAATATAAATGTACCGATTGACGTGGTAAGGTACAAAGCAAATGAGAAAGATCATCAGGACCATGATGATCATTTTGACAGCTTTTTCCTTCAGGTGTTTCTCGACTCTGTTCCCACTCTTCAGGCTCTGGATGATGAGTAAGTAGCAAGTCACAGTGGTCACAAAGGGGAAGGTGAATGCCACTGCCAGGGACACAAGGGCGTGGCGTGAGGCCTTTTCTCTGTAGAGCTGCAGGCAGACAGTTGTGTTTTTCATCTGGACCGTCTGCACACTGAGCAGCAGAGGTGCCATGGCCACCCCAACGATGACCCACAGAAAGACACATGTCAGGTGAGCGTAGCAGGACCTGCGGAGCTTGATGGACTTCACCGGGTGCACGATGGCCAGGAACCGGTCAACGCTGATGCACATCAGGAAGTAGATACTGGCATACATGTTGAGGTAAAAAAGGAAGCCTGTGAGTCTGCATGGGATCTCCCCAAATGGCCAGTGGTTACCAGAAAAATGGTACACCAGCCGGGTGGGGAGTACCAGCACAAAGAACAGGTCAGCCACAGCAAGATGCATCAGGAAAATGTTGGCGGGTGTGCCAGACTTTTGGTCCCGGATGAAAAGCCAAAGAGCCAGGGCATTGCCAACAAAAGCCAGGATGAAGTCCAGCAAGTAGAAGGTGGCAAAAATCATGTTTTCAAGGTGTGTCTCTTTGCCACATTGCTCTGATGTTTCCAAACTGAAATTTGATTGATTTGAGCAGTTGAAGAGCAGACTTGAAGCTGCAGGCCCATTCATTTTTCCCCGCAGTTCTGAAGAAGAAAAAGCCCTAAATGTGAAAAAATTAAGACATTATGTTACAGAAGAGCCTGGATTTGTGCAAAACAAACAAACAAAAAAAAACCCAACAAAAAGACTGAAAAACCCACACATGAAAGTCAGCAATGTTTGCTAGCATCAGTGTTTGGTATGACAGGTCAGTCTGAATTGAAACGTTATATTAGAATTCTGAATACTCTCTGCTCAGCTGGGTTCACCAGAGCAGTAATTCTCATGGAAGGAACCCCAATGAAGAGCTGATGATGAGTTTGTCTCCAGCCTGTGCTGAGGCCAGTTGTATAACCAGGTAGTGAGATGCTTTTGTGTCTGGTTAAGAGGAGCAGGAGTGAGTTCTGTATATCTAACTGGAAAGTATTTGCCATGCTTCAGTTTGAAAGCCTGATTCAGGACTGAGGAGTTCCTGATAAGTCAGCTTTTCTGAGCACAGGTATCTGTTGTATGGTGATCTAGCTTAGAATATGTCTTGTTTTTAAAAGAGATAAAAGGTCAGATATTGCTGTTATTAAAAAAAAACCCCACAAACATAGGGTTCCTGAAAATCTTTGAGTGTTATTTTAGTTTAAAGACCTGTGTTTAAGGCAAATACACCTAGTTCCAATATAGGAGGAAACTTTTCAGATGGATAGCAACATCTCTTTTGACACTGAATTGACCCAGGGAAGATTTGAAATAATGCCCATGCTGTCAGTCACCTCTCAAAGTGTCATCCTTCCCTGCAGCTTTTATCTTCCACCACAGCTCTCTCTTTTCCTGACTCAAAAGCCTGAGGTCTACACCTGCTTATCCAGGGCCTTTTCCAAGTAGAAGCTTAGCAAAACTGGTCTTAGCTTTGCCAGTCTCTGTTTGCAATGTCCTGAACAGAATCAACAAGAAGTGTGATAGGGTTTTCTGAGCACCTGCCCACATTGCTTGCCTGTGGGTATAGGTGGTATGGAAAAGCAGGTGGTCTGAAATTCCAGCATTGTCTCTATTACTTTGATTCCTCAGAAGTGTTACAGTCTGTTCATCAGTAACTCCATTTTGCTCACCCTTACATTTTGTACTGACTGACCATTTCTCCATAGTATTCAATGTATCTTTAAATACATCCATTGTGCACTGCATCCAGCTGCCCAGCAGAACTCATTGTTCAGATGCCTACAAATATTGGGATCATAGAGAACTGAAATGGGATTAAAGACCAACAAATATATTGGAAAATGTAAGAAAATTCCAAGGTAATTTAGTATCTTCAGTTTGGCTGCCGTTACTTTCAGGTGAACAGAAAACTGGAATATCTGGAGAGTAATGTGCTGGGTCACTGCTGTTTGGTTCACAGTTGAAGAGACAAAGTGAACAGTAGGGAGACTGGATGAAATTCAGAAAATTGGAAGCTCTTCCTGTGGCCACAGAGGGCCCTCCTTACTTCATGCATTGCCTGGATACCCTTCTGGGTTTGAGTATTTATGGCAAGTTGCTGTCTTGCCATTACTTGCAATTGCACATGCAAAGAAGACTGTACAGCCTTTTTGTTCTTATCTGTAAAAATACTTGTGAAATTGTGCTTTTACATACAAAAGCAAAACACCCTGCTGAATTTTTTTGTGTGTGTGAAGGTCGCAAGTTTACAGAGGAGACCACAATTTTTTATGTTATGCATTTGTCCGTTACAAAGTAAAACCTGCAAGTATTCTTGAACCCAAGAGTTTAAAATCTGTATGGGGTAGTAACATTGACTCATATGCTTGTCCTCCCTGGATGGAATTGTTTTAAATATGTATTTTTCTGCTGAATAGAAAAAAGAAACGCAGAGAGACAAAGTGAACAGTAGGGAGACTGGATGAAATTCAGAAAATTGGAAGTTCTTCCTGTGGCCACAGAGGGCCCTTCTTACTTCATACATTGCCTGGATACCCTTCTGGGTTTGAGTATTTATGGCAAGTTGCTGTCTTGCCATTACTTGCAATTGCACATGCAAAGAAGACTGTACAGCCTTTTTGTTCTTATCTGTAAAAATACTTGTGAAATTGTGCTTTTACATACAAAAGCAAAACACCCTGCTGAATTTTTTTGTGTGTGAAGGTCACAATTTACAGAGGAGAACACAATTTTTTGTTTATATTATGCATTTGTCCCTTACAAAGTAAAACCTGCAAGTATTCTTGAACCCAAGAGTTTAAAGTCTGTATGGGGTAGTAATGTTGACTCACATACTTGTCCTCCCTGGATGGAATTGATTTAAATACGTATTTTTTCTGTTGGATACAAAACAAAAACACATGAGACCATGCCTTTTTACTGGCTGTTAATTTATGATGGTACTTATCACCTCATGTTCTAGCTGTTAACACATTTTTTTTCGTGTCAGGCCCATTGCTTAATTATACTTTTCATCTGCAATATACGTATTTTTTCTGTTGGATACAAAACAAAAACACATGAGACCATGCCTTTTTACTGGCTGTTAATTTATGATGGTGCTTATCACCTCATGTTCTAGCTGTTAACCTTTTTTTTTTCATGTCTGCCCATTGTTTAATTATGCTTTTCATCAGCAAAAAGTGTAAATCAGGTGATCTTTGTGTACACACCTGCCAGGGATAGTCTTATGGCTAAATGTTGCTCTGTCCATGGCTGTGACACCTGAGCAAGCAGTAAATGCTGGCTTGGAGCAGCTGAAGTAGCAGAAACCAGGGTTGTCTGATAGAACAGACTGGGGTGGCTTTTGTCTTAGTGATAATGCTTTAAATCAGTTCCCAAAGTGAAGGAGTAAGCAGACTTTTCCCTGTTTACAAGCTAATTATTAGGGGTTTAACAGCATGATACACTGAACCGATTCATTTGAGTTGATTTCCTAAGGCAGATCTTGGAAATTCAGATTCAGCTGCATGTCAGTGCCAGACTTACAATAGGCAAGGCTCCAAAGTTGAGAGCTTTATCCTCACTGATGACAGCATTGAGTCTGCTGTGGATTTCTATACAGACATGCTTTCAGTGCAAAATGCTGTGGGTTGGAGTAGGAAGGAGAATGTCAGATCAATCTGGAAGTCCAGTGTGTCAGTGTCAGGAAGAGAGAGGCTTAGAACTAATGATAAAATTGAAATAGATTCAGTCTTTGCAAATTATGGCCTTCATAGGATAGCTGCTGTTATCTAATCTAAGGTTTTTTTGTAATTCTAGTTATTGGGTGAAAATAGTGGTGTAGCACTTGAGTAGGTTCAGAAAAAAAGCCAACATGTCACTAGAATAAATTGTTTGGCTTATTTTTAGACTTTACATGTTTTCAACAAAATTCTACAGCTTTAGAAAAGTAAAAATTCTCTGACAGTGTGTTCTCTAGAAGGTGTTAAAAGCCTTTGCAATTCCACTCCTATTCTCCTTGGGTTTATCCTATAAATTTAAAATAAATGTGCTTAGTTTTTATTGGTTTTTTTTATTATTATTTTTTACAGACAAATCACTGGGATTCCCATAATCTGTATAAATGTAAGAGCAAACTAGAAACCTTCACAAATGACCTATAGTGTGTAGTCTGTGTTAAGCTGTATGGTGCAAGAGGCTTTTATTCCACACACAGAAAACTCCTTTAGGAGTCTGGCTCATTATCCAATAATTTCTGCTTGGACTGCACTCTTGATGTTGTGTGAATATTTAGTGATTTATGTATTGCTGAACAGAGCACTGTTCTGGAATGAGCCATTATCCCAGGCCTCCCAGGGCTGAGCTAAAATGGGGATGTCACTGCTCATTTGAAATACATGCATGCACACTGACCATATTTCATGCCCTGTTTCTCTTCTGCTCAGAAACAAGCAAAGAACAATCCACAAGGCTGGCAGTATGGACATAATGCAGTCACTCTTTCAGCAGATGCTCTGTCATTAATGAAAGAACTAGCAGGAGAAAACTTTAGCTTGTTGTACACAGTTACCTGGCTAGTTTGGAGCTTTTGTTTGCCCACTGACCTGTATGTTAGGGTTTGAGGCAGGTCAGAAATTCCTTTTCTTCCTCTCAGAGCAGTTTCTGGTATGATTATACTGGTTTGTGTGTTTTTGTGATTATGACTTTAGTATCTTGTCAAATGAGTGTCTCCTCTCTTTCACTCAAAGTACCTTTCATTAGAAATAGTCCGTTTCTGACTGAAGTTTTTCTGCTGAAAATCACTCTCTGCTGAGCCTGTATTTCAGCTGAAATACTTGGTAATTGTGAGCATCAAAGCAGTGTAAGAGCACTAGACATACCATACAACTGGCACAAATGGATATACATTAGGTACAAAAGTTTGAAAACCTTTTTTGTTTTGAAGGAGTGTCATAAAAGTGAGGAAATTATTCTTTGAAGTTCAGAAAATGCAGCCTGTTCTTAGATTCAGACATTTCCATTATATTCATCTGCCTCAGTATGTGTTCTGCTCCTCATTGGCACCAGCTAAAACTAATGCCTTCAGGAAAACTCCTAAAAAAAACCCACAGCTCCTAAAGCTCCTACTAACAAAAGTTGGTCTCTTACCTCTTTACAGTGCCGTCCTGTGGGTGAAGTGTAGGGTCCTTTTGGGGAATATCTCAAACTCCTTCTGATGACAGCAAACTAGGTAGAAACAGCAGAGCAAACAAGATGATTCCAAGAGAGTGCAGAGTTGCTGAGAGCAGAGAGGGGAGCCCCTCTATATAGTGTCCTCCTCGCTCTGATAGCACATTATCAGCTCAGTCACACAGCAGAGCAGGGGAGAGGACACCCCAGCTCTGAGGAGCAGTCTTCATCCCAGCTGAGCTCTTGGCACTGGGGCTGCTGCTGTAGATATGAGTATCCTGCATGAATATGCCAGTGTTCATGGTGCTCACTGAAGGCTGCTACTGAACCTCCAGCCCTAAACACAGGGTCCTTGGAGTCCCCTGATTATTTTAGGAGGGTGGAGAGATGCATTGTTTGGGGGAAATCTAGTATTAACAGACACAACAGGACACTTCAGAATGGGATAATTCCATGATGGTGGGAAGGAGGAGGCGGGGGAGAGGGTTAGGGAGAGGGGAGGCTGCTATGGTAACAGCTTAGCCTGTCCAGCACTTCCCTTGGCTTCCAAAAGAGAGGGTCTGTGGGAGGGCAGAGGGTTTGTGAGTGGGGAGGGGGTTGATAATGGTTTATCAGTGCAAATGGCTGAAGGCATCTCATTCAGCTGAATGAGAGGGGTCTCTTTCAGGACTCTTGCTTCGGGGTCCCCATGTCCAGCCCTGTATAATTACTTTGCATTTGACAGTGCTGAGTAAAATTGATGCCTTTATGCTGAGATGAGCACAGCTGTGTGTTCCCTCATAATGGGGTGCTGTCTGCTTTTTCTGGACTCTGTCTGGGCCGACAGTGCTTCCAGCCCTGGGCAGAGACACTTGCTGACAGAAGGACTCAGATTTGGAGAAAATAATAATGATACTTAGCACTTAGACAGGCACCTGCCAGCTGAGAGTCATAAATGTTTGAGGCCTCACAACAACATGTGTTGTATTCTTATCCTCATTTCACAGACCTAAGGGTAAATAATTCATCAGGGCAGAATTTTGGAAGGGGCCCTGTGAAGAACCTGCTACTTAATCCATACCACTGCTCTTTCCATTTGAACTTTTTCTTTTGACTTGTGTGTTTTGAGAATGACCTGTAAATCTCAGTGACTGTTTGACATAGTGATACATTGAAAGGAATGAAACAGACTTGTTGGTTTTGGGACAAAGCAACCCACAGAAGTCATTCTGTCATTTTTCTTTTACCGTAAATTCTTCCCATAAATTTTACCATAAATTCTAGTGTTGCAACTAGAGGTAATAGGTAATAGGCAATAGCTTCTCCTCAGAGCTCTGAAGTATTGGGATAAAACTGGTGGCTTCCATCAGCCTTCACAAGTTTTTTTATGCCTTTGCCTGAGCTCTTCTACCAGAAATTTGGGTTATCTGCCTGTTTAGAAGTGTACTTGTAATGTGTTCAAGAATGTGTGCTAGGAATACAGCTGCTTTCACCACATAAAATTGCATAGTTCTTAATTTTCTTTGACTTAGGAGTAAAAGGAATTTGTAGACAACAAGAGGTCTCTTGTTTTTCAGAGATATTGAAGACTAAGGAATCCAGCCATGGCAAAAGGCATTCAAGCAATGCACTTTGGTCTGATACATTTTATTCTCTTCTTGGCTCCCTTCCAGTGCTCTGTAATGCCTCTGTTATGGTTGGATACATTAGTTACAGATAGAGGGTGTTGCCACCTTTCCTTCCCCAGCTATCAGAAGAGATCTGGAGGGTTGGAAAGGATCCCTAGAAGAATGACTGGGTGATTCCCCTGATGGCACATAAATCAGTGCATGTTGGAGTAGTCTTCTAAAGAAATACAACTTTATGCTCATTCTTCTCTGTGCAACTGGTGTGAAATACTGGACACCAAAATGAATTATATTTAGTCTGACCTTAGAAGACAGTTGTGTTACATAAAGCACTTCCTACAGTATGTATTATGTGTTGTTTTAAGAGAAAGAAAATATTTAAAAACTCTTTCCTTTGTTTTGTTCAACCAGGCACCTGTGCAGGCCATGCCACAACCGTGAAAAAGCCAAGGGACTGGGCAAGTACATCTGTCAGAAGTGCCACTTGATAATTGATGAGCAGCCTCTGATGTTTAGAAATGACTCCTACCATCCAGATCACTTCAACTGCACCCACTGTGGGTATGTTATCATACTGTAAACTCTGATAGAAAAGGAGAGAGACGTGAGGAGAAATTGAAATAAGTTTGGAAAAACTACAGGAATTTTATTTTGCCATTCAATATTCTCTTATTCTAACATAGATTATAATGAAAGTGAAAATAGTTCCTTGGCATGAATTTATTTGAAAGACTGTGTGCAGGTTACCATAGTAGAGTTTTCCAAAAATAGGAGTTACCAGGTTGTCCAAAATAGTTTCACATTGAATTCCTGGATAGAAAAAAAAAAAAAAAAGATGGCTTGATGAGCTGTGTCAGTCTTGTGGCACTGTCCATTGCCATGCTGGTACCTGTCTGACCTGAGTTACTCACCATGGAGGCATTTGAACTGGGCACAGTACTGCCCCAGAATGGGTAACAGTGCAAGTAAATGTCTGTGTTGAGCACTGCTGGGATGGCTCTTGCACCTGAGCTCTCCCATTCAGAGATGCCTCAAGTCTTAGCATGACACTGTGAGTCCATGTGGGTGCACCTCGTATGTCTGTGAGAGCACCCAGCTGCAGACGCGATGTTCCACATACGTTCTTGTCTGGAAAACTGAGAAAGCAATTTTAGAAAGATAAGTTGACAATAACTCTGTTTCACTAGCTAAAATGACTGCATTTGTAGTGTGAATGTTCCCAAGTTAACTTCCAATGTAGTGTTCCAGCACCTCCCCTGGGCGCTGCCGAGTGTCCCGCGGTGCCCTCAGCCCGGGTTTGTGTTGGCAGGAAGGAGCTGACGGCCGAGGCGCGGGAGCTGAAGGGGGAGCTGTACTGCCTGCCCTGCCACGACAAGATGGGCATCCCCATCTGCGGGGCCTGCCGCAGGCCCATCGAGGGCCGCGTGGTCAACGCCCTGGGCAAGCAGTGGCACGTCGAGGTGAGGCCTTCTGAACCTGAAACTTCCTTAGCAGCTCGTGTGGGAGAGGACTAGTGCTGCTTGGAAGCTGTAGACATGCAAGTGTCTGTAATATGTGAATTCAAACCCAATTGCTGATGCTTCGGATTGTCCTCACCTTTTGTGAGTGAATGAGTTACAGCAGGGCCATCAGGATTCCTAAGAAAGCTGTTTTCACAACTGTAATAGCTTAATTTTAAAATTCATAATGATCCTTGCAGAATAGGCCTCTCTGAAGAGCATTTACTTACTAATAAATGTAAATATTTTGTTTGATGTCTTTTGATATATCCTCTCCAGTTCAAGTTACCAGCCACATAAGTGTTAGAATTTTTACTGGAAGCTGAGAATTCTTGGTTTTTAAGCCTTTTCAGCTCATTGTTTCTATAACTTTCATCACAGCTTGCTCTGAAGATTTTTAGTCATCTTTGTTTCAGTCATTTGTGCCTTCTAGGGCTCAGCCTGAGAGAGATGCTGCTGCTCATTTGAGGTGTATTCATACCAGCTATGTTTGTGTTCCTGCTTCTCTTCCCTGGAACAAGCAAGATAATAGTCCACAAGTCTATCAGGATAGACACAAGATGATTGCCCTTTCATCAGGTCTTCCACCTATCTTTAATATAACTCTTAATTACTATAGATAGACTAAATATCTCCTTTTGGTTCCATAAAGATCTTTCCTGTCTGTGCTTCATTAAAACATTAAGAGGTAACAGATTTAAATGAAAATAGGTAGATTTAGATTAGAGATTGGGAAGAAATTCTTCCCTGTAAGGCCCTGGCACAGGCTGCCCAGAGAAGCTGTGGCTGCCCCATCCCTGAAAGTGTCCGAGGCCAGGTTGGAATCGGATGAGCCTTAAGGTCCCTTCCAGCCCAAACTGTTCTATGATGAAGTGTCATGTGTTGAGCTAGGATTTATTGCCATGCTTTTACCTGGTGATGGGAAAGTTGTTTTGCCTGCCATGGAATGTTGGGGTTTCTTTTTTTCTTTTACAGCATTTTGTTTGTGCCAAGTGTGAGAAGCCATTCTTGGGGCACCGACATTATGAAAAAAAAGGGCTGGCCTATTGTGAGACTCATTATAATCAGGTAAGTTCAGCCATCTGTGATGTAGGTACTTGTTGTGTCTGGCAAATGCTTTTTCATGTTTTATATATGCAAAGCTATGCAGATTTTGCATAGTCTGAATTTGTAGATGCAATGAAATATTAAGAAATTAGTCGGATTTAACAGAAAAATAAGAGTTTTTCTTGGCAGAAAAGTGATGCTGAAAACAGAATGGAAATGTCTTGGGGACACTGATTTTACCTTGTGACATTGACAGAAAATCACTGACCAGGGGTTGAGATTAAAATCCCTGTAATTTTACTTCTAATGTATTTGTGTGGACTCCTTTGATAATTACTTCTTTCTGTGGGCACAAAGCAACTGTTGTGTTGTATAAAACATAGAAAAGTAGGTAAATTAAAAATAAAACAGAAAAACCAATCAAACCCTGTTTTCGGTGTGATTCGACTGAACACTGTTTTGGTTTGGTATTTTCTTCTGTCAGATAAATAACTGTCTCATAAGAGGTAAGTGTTGCTGTTCTGACAGTAGCTGTATTTTAGCAATAGTTCTATTTTGGGGGTTGTAGTTGAGCATCAGGAGATGTTTGTCTACACTAAGCATCATACTCTACCCATCCTTTCTTCTCCATAGGACTTTAAGATGCCATAACAGTGCTAGAGTGTGAGGCATCAACAAAAAAGGTTTTGTAGTGTTTAGTGGTATGAGATCCAAAGGAACATAGACTATCTGGCAAGTGTATGAGAAGTTATTCAGAAGATTTAAATTGGTATATTTGAGGGCCACTGCTGTATGTGGGAATTCTTTGATTATTAGTATTTAATGTTCACACCAGCTGTGTAATTTGGGGACCATGAGTAGTCAGCAACATGAGTTTGTATTCTTATTTCTTTTTCTGTGCAGCTCTTTGGAGATGTCTGCTACAACTGCAGCCACGTGATAGAGGGAGATGGTAAGATTTGTTCTCTCCTTGTTTTGGGTTGCTGTCCTTGTTTCATTTGTTAGTGCAGCTGTTGCAGTCTCACAGTTGCAAGACAACAGTGTTTGTTTTCACATCTGGCCTCATTTGAATTTGGACATAAATCTGAATTCAAACAATCCATCAGTTTCCTCTTACTTGGTGCTTTTGCTTTTGCAGTGGTATCAGCTCTTAACAAGGCCTGGTGTGTGAATTGCTTCTCCTGCTCCACCTGCAATGTCAAGCTCACACTGAAGTAAGTCAGTGCTTGTATTTTGGATCATGTGAGACGTTTGCCCCTAGGGCAGGGTATCAGCCTGGAGGAGCTGTGAGTCTCTGCCTCTCTGAAGGCCAATATACCTTTTCTCTGTGGGAACCAGTGTTTATAATTCCTCTGATTTCAGCACTGAAAGGGAGCTGACATTCAGCATCCTCTCTGATCTATTTTCGTTCATTAATCTATGCTGTAAGGAAGTTGGGTAAGAGGGGAGCTCATTCAGCAGTACAGAGGGAAGGCTCTAAACTTTGAGGAATTGCCTGTCGTGAACAACCTGCAGCCTCCGTGTCTCCTAACTGTGGTTGCTCCTCTCAATGACAGTATTTGCTATTGCACAGATTATTTGGAAATAAAATACTGTTCTATTTGCCTCAAGTATCTAGAAGAGGGGCAGAAAAAAAAAACCAGTCTTACATTTTTCCTTTCTCAGGTTCAAATTCTTATCCTGCTCTGCTGGGTTGGCTCCACTAGCCATATGAAGGAGCTCTGTATTCTACAGTAACAAAATTATTATTCTAGAATGCTGCGTGTAAATATGTAGCAAAATCTTGCTCCTTTTTTACCTAGCAATACTAGAGACCTCCGTTCACTGATAGGAACCCAATCTCTATACTTGCATCACCAGATGAGGAAATGAGTGGTTGTATAAATGGCATAGAACCCTTGCAACAACAGTGATGTAGATGCATGGAGATTTTAATTAGTGAAGCATGTAGTTTGCAAATACCATTTTAATAACTGTTCTTTGTGTTAAAGGAATAAATTTGTGGAGTTTGACATGAAGCCTGTGTGCAAGAAGTGCTATGAGAAATTCCCTCTGGAGCTGAAGAAACGTCTGAAGAAATTGTCAGAGCTGGCATCCAAGAAGATCCATCCTAAAGCTTTAGATTTAAACTCTGCTTAAAGCAAACAGGTCTGTCAGTCTCCTGACTGCACTCTTAACATAAGCTGCTGCTCACTGCAGCTGTTGATTACAGAAGCAATTACTAAGAAGTGGAACCAAAGATAAGCAGTACCTTCCCCTGCTTCTGGTGCTGTCTCTTGCATCTCAACTGTCCCTTTTCCCAAGCAGCTGTCTGTTAACACTGGCAGGAAGAGGAGTATGAGTTCTGCTTGAGCTGTGCACAGGCTGATTATTAATTTGCTACTAACATTGCATTTTGCCTTTGTGGAGTTTTACACAATCTTTCCTTCCTCAATTGAACTGTACTACTCTTTCCACTCCTCTACTCTAAGGAATTAGGAAAAAGTGGTTAAATGTAGGGCTGGAAGAAATGTCAGATTTGCTCTTTCTCAATCAGAGTATCAGAATTTTTCTTACTCTGGCTGAAGCAATTTTTAGGTTTTTTAATATCTAGGCAAATAGTCTGAAAGTTGTCATTCTTTACTACATGCGAAAAGTTCTGGTCTTTCTCCAGAATGCTACAGACAATATGTGGGTGCCCTATCCCATATCCCAAATCCCAATCCTTCTTGTTTGTATGTTTACTGGGCAAGCCCAGGAACCAGTAGCTATGGCATCTGCACTGCCCAGTCAGGCCCAGTGTTAAGGCAGCTAAGAGGTTTCCTTTGCTGCTTCTGTGCTCAGTACTAAGGAGATTTCAGGTGTCAAGGCCATGTGAGCCTCTTCAGAATGGCTGGGCTCTCTTTAAGGAGAAGGTGGCTATGGGAAACTGAACATTTTATTAGAGCTGACACTAATTTTCTCTGTTCTCTACTGCTACATGGCTGGTAGAGCTTCTGCTGGTCAACACAAAGCACGTCTTGTCCATTGGCATAGCTGATATTTATTGAGGTTGTGTGGTTGGAGCATTGGTTACTCTTCTGCATAAGGCAGTTGGATAAATAATATAGTACCAATTTAAGCACTTCACTTTTCACATTTTCACTTTATTTGCCAGCCAAGGATATACTTGTTGGTCATGCTTCAGATAGCTCAATTACATGAAGGTGTTTCTAATGTTTACAGTTTGTAGCAAATGTGTTATGCAGAAAAAAACCCCATTTTTCTTAAAATTTTTTCCCGAATAAGAGTCCCATTCATCTTTCTTCTGGAGATCTGAGTTTACTTAAGGAGAGGATCTCAGACATAATGCTAATATCTCAAGCATATAGTCCTTCTCTGTAATTTTGCTTGTCACCAGTGAGGTTTCACTGGTCCTGCTATCTCTGCTCCCACAACCCAAGGTGCTGAGAAATTTACTGGTTTTGGGTATTCTCAATACTTCTTTAGAGGTGAGCCATCAGCAGTACTGTTCCTGAGCCCACCTGCATGATGTATGACCCAGTGAGCTGCTGAGTCCCCCAGAGGTGACCCCCATACTTCCTTGCACTGAAGCTGAGCAACCTGAACATCCCTTTCCATGAACAGTTGTGAGACACTGCCTGCCCCTTTGCAAGGCTGACAAGCACTGGAAGACTACTGTCCTTTGCATGATTTAAATCTTCCAAAAGTGGCTGTTTTAGTTGGTCAGATGAACACAGAAGTTGTGCCTGGACAACACCCTGCAGCCACAGTTGAATTAGGTAGCAAGAAGTTAAAGCTTCCCTATTGTATGTGTGAACAGCAATTGGATTGGGGCAGTAGTCTCAGTAGTCTGCCTTAGAATTGTGTTACCATGCTTGCTGAATCAATACCCATGGAACTGCACCAGTGATGCCAAAGCAATCCTGGATAAGTGATCAGAATCCCACGTGTGAGACCATCTCTTAGAGCTTCACTGCCTTTGCTAACTCAGTTTTCCTCAGCTGCTGTGCTTTTTGTTGCTGTAAGTTACCATAATCTTTTAACTGGGTTATGCTGTATCCACTCTAACAATGATGAGGGGTAGGCCTAATTTTAGCAGTCAACTATTTCACTTTCTCCTGACCAATTTGCACAGTAGATTCCAGTAACAGTAGCTGCTTGTGTCATTGCTTTAGGAGAACACGTGGCTATTCACTGTTCTCTCACCAGCCTTAAAATGGTGTTGAAATTCAGGGCACAAAGAACAGAATGTCTTTCGGTGCAGTAGGGTGGCTCTGCAAAGACCCCCATTTACAATCAAACCTGTTGTTTGGCATTTTGTCACAGCATAAAACACTTGAATTCTGACCTAGGTGCAGCTCAGTATGTTATGCAGATTCTTCTCAGCATAAAACATTCCAGTCTGTTCCTGTAATCTCAGTCACAGGCCCTGTCTAATGCTGAATCTGAGCAGCTGTGTATCCCCAGCCTGCTGGGAAGTGGTGGAGGAACACACAGCCACACATTCCTGGTAAATATTGGGAGGACTACGTAACTAGCAGCCAATAGGTAATATTCTTTCAGCAGCCACTCACATTCAGCAATGGAAAATGCATGTATGTGAATGGCATTACTGCTGTGCTGCCAGTGAAGATTTAATGTGTGCTTTCACCTTGTCTCGTGTTAGAGACTTGGCAGACCTAGAAAGCTTCAGAGTTCTAAGGAGAGTTGATATCATTCTCTTTGATAAGCTGCTCAGTTTTCTAGGATTTGGAATATGTCCTTCAGGATGTTTTGCAAAATTAATTGGTGAACAAAATAATTGTAATCCCTGATCTCTATACTAATGGCGGGTGATATTCTCTTATATTATTAATTTTTCACAATAATTTTTCTTACACTTCTGCTGCCCATAGCCTGCAGTGTGCAGAGTTACAGTAGTTTATATTACCAACACACCTTTTTTCCTTTATTGTGAGAATGGAGTTGAAGGACTAGGAGAAATAACTATAAATGGCTTTAAAAAATGCATCTTCCTCTACTTCTGTCAGTCGACTTTTTTAAAACCAAGTAGAATATAGTGCAAACTCACAAGTTCTCCTTAGTGCCTTGGTAGGCTGACAGGTTGAGTTTTCTTTTTAATTAATATAGTCAAGGTGTCAGTAAGAAATATGCTGCATGCTTTTTTCCATTGCTGTAAATAGACCTGCTGGCCAAATTCTTCCTAAGCATCACACCACTGGAGAGTAGAGATTTATATGAAGGTTGAGCTTGGCTCAGAAACCTGCACTTAATAGAAGATGTCTCATACTATACATTCATATTTATACCTAATTCGTATTTATACCTAATTAAAATCACTAACACTCACTGAGTACACTTGAAAATGGTTCTGCTTTTAGAAAGCATGGTATGTGAAGCTTGTTTTTATGGGTATGCTAATCACTTGCAGTGTTTCTTTATGGCTCTAATCCTCTCTCCAGGTTTGTGTTCTGGTGTTTTCACAGCAGTCTGTGCAGTGCTGGCAAACACTGGTCAGCCTTTCCTAGAGAGAATTCCTGATGTGGCATGGCTGGTATTAGATGATCTGACTGACACTCTTTCAGAAGTGATTGGTTGGGGAAGGAATAGATTGCAGGCAAGCGTGTAATAAACATGGTTATATTAGCCTGTAAAGCACTGTTAAGTGCTGAGGGTATTAGATGAGCAAAGAATTAGCAGCTCCCTGCCTTGGTTCAGGCCTTGATGGGTTCTGCACCATGTAGAGCTCTCACTTTATCACACGTTGTTTGAGCTGTCTAATCAAAGCACATGATTGTAGATTAAATGCTGTAATACTGTGCCTTTGTATGTTCTTGTATTAAAGTTAACTGTAATACATTTTAAATCTTCACACAAAAAAAAGGGGAAAAAATGGTATAGTGTACAGTTAATACCATATTTTCAGTGCTTAGCCAGAGACTGTTACCCACTCCAAGGAACTCTGGGACTGCTGAAACCTGAGGCACTGTTGTGAATTCATGTTTTGGACCTGGGCTGCTTCTGTGGTGATGTGTTGGTTGATTAGGATGTGCAGAAAGGGGTATCACCCTTCTAGTGGCTATGTTGTACAAGTTGTGTTGTGTAGGTAATGAGCAGATGGGATACTGTGATCATTTCCAGGATATAATGGATATTTGGTTGATTTTAGTTACATGGATCTGGAGCAAACAGTTCAAAAAAGACATTGTGATTGATTTTCTGCATCTTTATTTAAAAACCAGAAACAATACAGTTTGGCTGCAAGATTTCTCTTTGTACAGGTGAAGTGCTGAACATTTCTCACAGCTAGTTAGTTAGATCAGACACTGGGTGACAAAACCACTGGGTAATTAGACTCCAGCATTTCCATTGCCAGCAATGGACATTACAGCAGGAGCATCTAACTGCTTGCAAACAGATCAGCTATTCTGACAGGTGTGGCACTCATTTAGATGCACAAAGAGAGTGGGCTCTTCCCTGCCACCCATATACAAAACTCCCACCAGCATTTGAATTTTGCACACACATGTCTGAGGGAACAAGAGAACCATTGTGCATCCATTGGCAAAGTTGAGAGATCAGGCAGAGCTGCTTTTCCAGCACTGCCAGCTTGTGTCTCAAGGAACTTGGTGTGAATGCTTTAAGACATGTTCATGTTCCACTGGGAGCGAGGGAGGAGTACTTGATCTGAAGGGGAAGCAGCTAAGCTTGCTCCCACCATAGTCTGTGTCTGCTTAACACACTCAGAGCACACTCTGGTTCCTGTGGCACCAAAGCTGTGTTTCTGCAAAGCTCTTAGGGATGAACAAGTGCTGAATCAAATTTTACCACTCAAGCTGTCTGCTAAACAGGAAGCAGAAAAGATCTGGACAAATTAAAGCTATTATTCTTGTCTCGTGAGGGAATGTCTGCATAACTCCAAACAGAACATTTTTGTGGAGCAGAAAAGTCTCTTTTCAACAGACCTCTGTTAGACTGAATTCTTCACTTCTGATTTGCACTGAATAGCTCATCTATATGTTGAAATAGGAGCAACTAAAAGTGATGGGCCCAAACCCCAGACTCATTTCAGAGCTTACTAGATACTGCACAGTAGAAAGCAGTTGTTGGTTTCCAAGTACATTATAACATGTGGAAGAAAGAAGACAATCTAAGCAATGCTCTGGTAAGTCAGGGGACAGCATCTGAACCTTTCAGACTGTCCAGTTACGAAAGGGCATTTCTCCGCTCTTAGAATTGCCAGTAGGAGGAAAAAAATTACATTACCTTTGTTTGCAAAGACTCTTGGAGTCTGTGCATTTGGTAAGAGCGTGTACAATAAGGGGCATTTTCTTTCCAAAAGGAAGACAGCTCTTCATATGTGTCTGTCTTTGAATGGAGGAGATTCAGGCTATTAGAAGGGGCCCTCACAGGGTTTCCCCACTCCCACAGAACATTAAAGTCCTTCTAAACTTTCTGTAAATCCAGTATTTGAATGAAATTCTCATACTACATCTAAGACAGAAGTGTTGCAGATATTTGAAAGCACATGCTCACTTGAGTTTCTCTTGCAGTAGTGTTTCAGCAACTCAGTTCATTCAGTGTGTGATCACAAGATTGGTCAACAAGATTAATATTTTCTAAATGGCATTTCTTTTGGGATATGAAGTTACAGGGAGATTGGCACAAGTACAGGTGATGGGCTCTATTTCCACTCTCAGGCTGGGAGGTTCTTTTGCTTGTTTACAGCATTCATGAGCAGGCGTACGTAGGATGTTAACAGGTCATCCATTTTGTAACCCTGTCAGGGAAGAAAAAAAGTCTTAAATCTCTCAGGGAGCTCCAGAAGCAAAAATAAGTATCATTTCCTCTCTTCAGGTCATCCATTTTGTAACCCTGTCAGGGAAGAAAAAAGTCTTAAATCTCTCAGGATGCTCCAGAATCAAAAATAAGTATCATTTCCTCTCGTTTGTCATCTTCTGAGGTTCTTCCTTACATGAACATCTTTTCTTCCACTATCTGTCACTGTTTTAGTTATAATTTGTCCATTCCTTCCTCTGCTTTTCATAGATTTCCAAAACTTTACAGACCATAGCTCTACTGTCTCCTTGGTGTTCACTCTGCAGCTTGACTTGTATTTAAGATTCTTGTATTTAAGAATCTAAGCTTTTCTGTCAGATTAGTTAGCCTTTAAATATTTTTGTTATCTTTACAAACCTACCTTTAAATATTAATACAGTGATGCTTCTCTGAGACTGTGAATAGTCTGAAACCAATTGTTAAAAAGGTGGTACCACTTCCTGGAAAATATGAAGTCTTACAAGGCTGGCATTACTACATAACTGGAGGCAGACATGCAAGACAAAAAGCTTCTTATGTAGCTTTGCAGTCTTCTCAAATGATAGAATTTTGATGTATGGGAAGAATTTGGGAAATTACTATTTTTCCTTGTGTCCTGTGTCATGCATCTTTGCATAGATAGCATTATATATGAACTGAACCAGTTCTAAATGGCAATTTTATTGACACAGCAGTGAATGCTTTTGGTATTTGTGGTATAATTGGTATAATTATGGTATATATGATACAATTATTTTGGTATAATGCTGCACTGGTATTTATCTGTTTTCACACCATCTTTTGTAGCAATCAGGGTTGGAAAGGAAAAATTAGGATTTTGTTGTGTCTTAATTGGCAAAACTCTTCTTACCAGAGATGTCTCACATAAGAGCCGGGTTCCTCGTACCAGGTTCCCTATGGTCATGTGAAAATATGTGCTCCCACTGCTCCAGTTGGAGATCTTATTGAAGGGGTAGACTACTAAAATATCCTGAAAGGGGAAACAAAGTGATCTATAGAACTTTTCTCAAATGAAAACGGGCTGTTACATAAGAAAACCTGTAGAGCCAGAGAATTCTTGTTCTTTCCCTCTTTGTTTATAAAAATCATGGATCAAGGTGTTTCTTGCCTCCAGATTATTGGTATATTGTATTTTCACCAAACAGGTAAATCTTAATCACACACAAGACTCCCTTTCATTATATATCCATCTTTGCCATAGTACACTGCCATTAGATTTACAATCATCTAAACCTATTTTTAATTTGTTTGGTTATTGAAAGCAAATAGTGATACTCCCTTTTCCTGAGACCTTGGTAAGACCAGACTGTTGGGGTTAGACTGCAGCTAAACATGGCCATTCAGCCTGGTCTCTTAGACAGCTGGGACTTCCTGCAAAGCATTTTTCTGAAGCAGGTTCCTGGGTGCACTGCCCATCCATCTTCCTGATCTTACCACCTTGCCAGCTCTATCATGATTCCCATGTCTTTTTTCAGAGATGCTCTATCCTATTCCTTTCCAGAGTAGAAACTGCAAAGAAGTGATTTGAGGCAGTAACATTTCCTTCAGTTTCACACAGAAAAAATTAGACAGCCTCTATCCTCTCCTGTCATTCCTGGGCATGGTCCTATCACTGTCCCTAAATTAGCAGGGTATGTTCAATCCTTCCTTAGATGCACTTGTGAGAAGCAGCTGTTACCTTTGTCTTCTGATGTATCAGTGAGACTCCTTGCTTGTTGATTGCAATCAGTACAATCTCTGGGAAATTGGGCTCCGAGGCTTGCTGTAAATGAGTAACACAGCAAGATAAGCAGAAAATTGAGAAATTATCTCTGTCAGGGACCTAGTGACCTTTAACAGTGCCCAGTGCTTCTTGTTCTCTTTCCCAAATGAACACTGAAACATTTTGGCCATATACTGATGACTCGAGCAAATGCTACATGACAGCAGAACCAGGTTCATTATTTACTATGCTGTCTGATAAAAGGCTTAATGATTGATTGCAAACCATTTAAGAGCCTAGTGAGGAGAAATTAAAGGTAACACATGGGAAATTATTCTTGTGATATCCACTCTAGAATGAGAGGATTTGTACTGTTCTGTTCTGAGGGAAGAGTCACCAAAGAGAAGATTTGGCAGCATTTTCTTGTGGAGAGCAATGACAGGACAATTTAGGCCCCTACAGCTACTGCACAGTTGTAGTAGAGATATTATAACTAGAGCAAGAACATTGCCAGTAAATAAGCATAGTACAGAATGGATAAAGAATCCATCTCCAAACTTGGAAGGAACTGAGTTTTCCTCTATAGATTACAGGAATTCAGTTTTATAATGTATTTTTACTTTCAGGTATGGAATTATAGTCAGTCTGTATCCCTTGGCACTGATCTACTACTAAATCCACTCACACAGGCCTTCAAACCTACCTTCACCTCAAAAAAAGCTGATCCAAACGTTGGCCACCGGTGTATCATTTTCAAGAAAGCAATCTTGGCCTCATCCACAGTTTTTCCTTCATGTTTACCATATGCTGCAATAATGCTCTGTTCAGGAAAAGAGGATACACAGCCAGCTGAGCTGGAGACAAGCAGGTTTCCAATGCCTGCACTTAGCACTAAAGACAGCATCGGCTTATCACCACTATCAGGTTTTTTGCCCAGCAGCAGAAAACTGAAAATGAAAACAGCTGCTGTGCCGTGGGGCAAGGTGAAGCCAAAACCCTCCAGTGTTCCTTATTCCTCTGCTGGGTGAAGGAAGCCCAGCAGCCTGAGGAAATGGACTTCAGGGCAGAGGGGCAACATGAGGTAAAACTCGGGAAGCCAGTATTCAACACCCACAGACACAAATTACATCTTTGGCTGAAAAATTGAGGGTGAATTTTCCCTTTGCATTTGAAATAATGTCCCGTGTTTTCCTCAGCAGACTAAGTGGTAAGTACCTGCTGAAACCCCCTTGCCCTTTTTGTGGATAAAACAGCTTTTTGCTGTAAGTACCATGGACA